AAAGTTTCCAACTTTACAGTTTAATATGTTGTTTTATATTACAACAAGCTAAAATTCACCAAATGGAATTTCAATCTAATTGAGAAAACACAGTATATATCTAGCAAAACCTACAATTTGAAACCATGAGCAATAATCTAATTTTATTTCCACGTATCCTTTCACATTGAATTCAATTGCTAATTAGACAGCAAAATTTGGCTTCAGAAAAGAAAAGGCAGATTGAAATGGATGCAGATGAAGATAACAGCAACTGGGTTTCTGTGTTTCGCTCACTTTCATCGCAAAGTTTAAATCTTTACATTGATCAGAAAATATGCAAATACTAATGAAATGAAAACAAGGAAAAATGGGTTTTTGAGTTTAAATTACCTTGTTTTGATGGAAGATGAATTTGCCCCAGCCTTTCTATTATTGTCTCTGTCTTTGCAAGTCAATTAGGTAGCTCCTTAGAGACAGGGAGAGGGAGTTGAAGGGGGAGACATGTCGTTGATGAGGAAGAGCACAATTATTAAACTCGGACTGGCCGACTCGATCTAACCCGAGGCGGGTGTCCACGAAAAGTCTACCTGGAAAATTAGAATAACTTTGATTTAACTTTTTTTTTTTAAAAAGGAACACGATATTATTTTAATTTATTAGGATATATCCAAGTTAATCTGATTAACAATGATTCAGGTTATAAGTTTTTATTATTATTATTTTATTTTATTATAATAATAGTTTTTAAAAAATATTTTTTATTTAAAAAAATATTAAAATAATATATTTTTAAAAAATTTATCTGTACTCGTACTGACTAACCATGTAAAAATTTGAGTTGATTTTATTTTTAACCCGACTAATATGAGATTCAAATTATAAGTTAGGTTAGATTTCATTATTACAATCTTATTTGGTATTTTAAGAGTTTTAAAAAAGTATTTTTTAAATTATTTTTTACTTAAAAAATTATTAAAATAATATATTTTTAAGTGTTTTTTATGATTTTAATGTATATAATGGGAAAGTTCATTTTTGGTCCTTCAACTAAACATTTATTCATTTGAGTCTCTCACTCACCATTTAGAAGCTAGAATTTCTTGGCTGAGTGCCTTCTTCTATATCCGTCAATAGTTTTCATTCAGGATGCGTATTTTCTTAATCAAAACAATATTATTTTATATATCATTCGTCTTTTTTTTTTCATGAAAACATATGTTATAATTTCGAAAGGGAAGATTAAATTGAGGAATTATGCTAATCTAATATACGTTTTTTAATACGGTAACCAGAAGGCTAACTTTATATTATTCCTTGAAATTATTTCACGGCAAAGGGTTCAGTATTCATACAAGAAAGGTAGAGAGAGAGGAGATATGAACAGTTCTCAAGAGAGAGAGAGGAGATATGAACAATTTGAACAGTGTGATAGAGCTCAATAATTGTTTCAAGATAGAAAAAATGCTAATAATTATATTCCAAGCAAGATTATATTCCTTTTATCTATGTGTTTCTTGTTATGATTATATTCCTTCTATATTTGTATCTCCTGTTATGCTAACTAATCTAAAAATTCTTACTAATTTATTGTATTTCTAATGTTATGGGTGAATTTTTTTTTTCAATGGTGTATCTAGATAATGTATGTCTAAGAAAAAAATATTTATTAAAATATTTTATTAGGAAATTTCACATTTGTTTTATTATCATGTAAATTTATTAAATTAAAAAATAATCCATGAAATAAAAATTTTATTGAATCTAATTACGCAAATAAATTGCATCAAGAGTTTGATTGGTTGATTCAAGTTCACTCGACTTTTTAAAAATAAAAAAATTTATTTTTTTATCTTTTAACATTAAATTAATTCAAGATTTAGGTTTTAGTTTATTTTTTTACGATTATACCTGTAATTTTTACATGTCAACTTAGAATGATATGAATTGATTCAATTTTTTCTTTTTTTAATAGTAAATAAAAATATCATTTAATAAACAATTAATTTTAAATTCATAAATAAAATATTTTTATTTATTTAATAAACACATTACCAATACCTAGACTTTTTTTATCATTTGATCTTTTTTGGGGGTAGTGTGCGCTAAGAGGCTAGCCTAAGTGTTATTTTGATGTTAATGAGCTCTATTTTATAAAAATAGTTTAATCTAGGTGTTTTTTGTTTACCCAAGAAAATAGATCTAAATGCGGGAGTTATTATAGTTTTGGATTGATTCTATTTTTAGAGATGTTTTTTTGGTTTTTTGATGGTTGTAGATAGGTTTATCGAAATATTTATAATATTTTCTAAGTATTTTAAGTCAAGATAAATTTTAAATTGAAAAAGTCAAATCCCTGATTTTCTAACAAATTATGAAAAGCAAGTGATGTATTATATATTGTTTATTTTGAAAAAAAATGGCCTACCCTTTTAAAAAATTTAAAAAAAGTAAAATAGATCTAAATGTGCTAACTGGGTTGTTTATATATACATATATATATATATATATATATATAGACCACATGGCTTGGTTATTTTTTTCTATTTTCTATTTGGTTTTAAAAAATTAATAAAATAAAATATTGAATCTAATTGAGTTAATTTTTTGGGTAATAGTTTAATTGGTTGATTTGCGACTTCTAGGGTATTATTTGTTTTTATTTGATGTTTTTTACTATCCTTTATTTTTTTACCATGCGCTTTATTATCATATAATTAAATGAAAAATAACCTATAGGTGAGTGTTTATTCTATTTCATTAATTAAATATTATTTTTTTTATCAATTTTATCTTTTAATATTGAGTTAATTTGAAGTTAAGCTTTCTAATGTTTTTTTTAAGTCGTCCATGTGAGTTTCAGAGTTCAATCTAGGCTAATAAAGATGGATCAAATGTTTTTTCTATCACAATATTAGATTAAAATATCATTTAATTCATTATTAAAATCAATTTCTTCTTTTAGCAAACATGTTACTAGTGCTTGAATATTTATTTCGCTCAAACAAAATTTTACTACTATTTGAGGTGTAGCGCAAGACAATGAGATAACATAAACTAAAAGAGGTGGTGTTTTTACTATGCATCAACTCGCAAACCACTATTTCAATAATATTTCTTTTCTATGATTTTTTTTTTATTTTATATTTTAACATTTAATTTATTAGAGATTGAACTTTATAATTTGTTATGCTTTACCCTAATATGATTAGCTCAGTCTTATAATTAGTATTACGGGTTTGATAGGTTAACTCGATAGATTTGAATTTTTTTTAATTGACATTTTATTTTTATTTTTATTCTTTAATATTGAATTAATTACGGATTATGTTTATTGATTTATTTTTACGTGCTTTCTATGAAATTATCTCAATCTTATAATTCTTACCACAAATTTAGCAGTCTAACTAAGCCGGCTTGAGTTTTTTTTTGTTTTTTAATTGATATTTTTTTTTCAATTTCATTTTTCAGCATAAAGTTAATTATGAATTATGTTTCATAGCTTATTTTAATTTGTTTTTTATAAGATTATTTCAGTTTTATGACTCAAGTCATGTGTTTTATAGATTAACTCTAGTGGACCAAGGTCGTTTTATTGTATTATATTTTTAGATTGAATTTTTTTCACTTTTAACTTTCAACAATTAAAAATTAGATTTCATAATTTGTTTTAATTATTTTACGAAATCATTACAGTCTAATGATCCTGATCACAAATTTTATAGATTAATTTAAGTTAATTTAGATTATATTTTTATTTATTTTCTATAAAATTATTTTAATTTTATAATTTAAATCATAAATTTAACCAATTAATTTACATCAAGTTAACCTCGACATAAAAAAATAATATTAGCAATACCATAGTATATGTATTTTTTAAATTATCCTATCCATCGCACCTCACACCAGGCACCTACGAACCACCCAGTAGAAGACTAATTACCAAGAGGAGAGCGATGGCAATAAACTAAAGGGGCTTGCTGATGATAGTTTATCTAACAAATCAGAAAAGAAAGATGCTGAAATCATCAATCTTCACTGGTGGGGTAGGCAGATTCCATCTAGAGGCTGGGAAGTCTAGATATACAGCAAAAGAGACAAAAACCCTAGAAAAAAATGAAAAAAATTAAATAAAAAGCTTAGCCCAATTGCAATCTTTCATTATATAATTACCCTAATTTGTTATTCCTACTCTACGATCTATTTTAATTATCTAGATAGATCAAAATACACCTAACTATAAGTCTTTTTTGATAGATCAAAATACACCTAACTATAAGTATTATTTTTTTTTTTTACAAATGATGGTTTTAATAAAATATTATCCGATTATAAAATATATAATTTTAATAAATTTAATTTTTATCCTTTTTCTTTCAAATAAAATTTGATTTTAATAATTAAAAAACAACTTTCAATACCATTTTATTATGTAAAAAAAAACTCTAAAATTTTATAAAAAAACAAGGAAGAATGGAATCCATGAATGTGATTTATAATAAAAGTAGAGTGAAAATAAAAAATCATGGAATGAGGGCACCAACATCCCAAAAATAAAATATAATAAAAATTTATGAGTAAATATTTAATTGACTGGCGTACCGCTATAGTAGAATCTTCCCTCCACTGACCTATTCCCGTCAAAATCAAAGAAAATAATGCTAATCCTATTGATTACCGTAAACCAACGTTGATTTATTATTTATAATTGTGAAACTCAAATTAAACTCTATTAATTTAGTTAAAAATTTAGGTTAATCCATTAATTTTTTTTAAAATTATTTTAAAATAATTCTTTATCAACTGGAATTATCTCAATAATCCGTGAGGATGTTTGGAAGAGCTTTTTTTTTTTGGTAATTTTTAAAAATATTTTTGAATTGGAAACTCAAACATAGAATATATTATTGTTATTGATATTATTATTATTATTATTATTATTTATTTTTCTTCCAGAAACAAAAAATAATAATATTGGGTCCCATCTAGTTCATCATGTATGCTTTGAAAAGGAACACTAAAACCAAAGCAAATGTCTCCATAAACAACTTTGAACAAAACAAGTTCTACCAGTTCAAAGATGGGTTCCGCTTCCAGCAGGCAAAGAAGAAACCACCGCCAAAACAACCACCTCCACCATCGTCAAAACCCACAACACCCTTCTCTACCTTCCTCATCCTCCACCACCGCCACCACCCCAATTCACCAACATCCCTCTTTCTCCAACACCAACAATACTAATAACCTCTACCCACAAAACAGTTCAATACCTTCTAGTAATAATTCCTTAACAAGTACTGTACCACCACCACCATCATCACCGTTACCGCCACCGCCACCTCCACATCCACCGATACCACCTCTACAACAGCCACAAAGTTATTTTTTTGCAGCGAATGCACCATACAGTACTCCTATGATTCCCACAAGTTCTGCTTACGGTTCTTATAGTTGCCATTACCCTCCTCCTCCTCCTCCTTTCAATAATAATGGATGGGGGTCATATCATTATCATCAAGCTGGTTTCATGGGACCACCACTGCAACCATCAACACAGGTGAGACATCATAATTCGGGACTGGTGCAGCCGCCGGGTTATGTGGATCATAATCAAGCGAAGACAATCAAGAATGCTGTGAATGTGAATAAGTCTAGTATTAAAGTTTTTGCGGATGAGAATAATTTGGATTCTCACTTGGTTTCCTTCACTTTTGATGCTGTTGTTGATGGCAGGTACTATTCAGATAATCTTTCCTTTTTACTTTTGTAATGATGCTAGTGTTTGTTTTGTGATTTTAGTATCTGGTTGGGATTTGAATGTCTGGTTTTTAATGTGGAATTTGTTAATGGGGTTTTGTTGTTTGTGATTGTTAGTGTGAATTTGAGTTATTTATGATTGACAGGAGAAAGTTTTTGTAGATTGGAAGGAATTGGTACCGGAAAGATTAAGAATTTATGTTGTTTGGTGTAGGGACGTTTGGAAATTCTACTTTCCTGGATTATAAATGTGAATTTTGTGGTAAATTGAATTGAAACAATTCTGTAAGTGCCTTAGTGTATAAAACCTGCTTTGGGAAGATCAGTGATTCAATTTCGGTGGGGGTTTGCAATTGAAAAGGTTTACATAATTTGAAAAGAATAGAGGATCATGATAATGGTAAGAGTAACATATTTTATCTAAGTTACCATCTCTTGAGCAAGATCTTTGAAATATTATATGCATCAGGAGAGTTCTCATGACTTATAAAGTTTCAAGAGGAACATGAAAGCTAATGGAACCATTGACAAATTGAAGAAGTGGTCAGAACTGCAGTAGCTTTCATACTAGGGAGGGTTTTTCTCTTGATAGTTTATTTATGTAATATTTATGATGGTAGTTTGGATGGTTAAGATTTAGTTATTTTTAAGGGAAATGATTTATTTTACTTATAGTTTTGTTAGTATTTAAAGGGCTGCTGTTACTATATATATAAAAAAACTACTTTGAAATTTTGATAATTTTATAAAGAATTTGTTCTCTTTTTCTGGCTTTTCAGCCCAGACAACGAGCCTTTGGTTATGTTAGTTACCTTTTATCTTTTTCTTCCTACATGAGTTGGTGTCAGATCAAAATCGATCCTAGTTTTGGTGATGGAAGCCAAGCAATCACGAGTTCCTAGGTTCAATCAAAACCAAGAGATGTTGGAGATGTGAAGGATGCTAAACCAACCCAAGCAAGAGGTATTAACCATGCTTGAAATTAGAGTGGAAGTCATAAATGAGACTTTGGAAGGTGGCCGCAACCCCTTAGACATACTAGAAGGTAGTCATAAGAATCAAGACTCTTTTCATCATGCTAGAGCCAGGAATCATATGGTGTGAGGTGGATTAAAAGAGGAAAAAATGCTCCACTTCAATGGAGGAAGAGAGTTGAAGAGCACCGAGCACTACTTATTGAGATGAAAGAAGTTATAGATTGGAGTTCTACCAATCCATGATGAGATAAGTATGGATTAGGATTCTTCACCAATCTATGATGTTTGTTGTGATGATGAGGTTGACGAGGAGAAGGGCGACAAGAGTAACAACAACCATGAAAAACTAGAAACTGAGTGTAAAGATCGCACTGTTTTAGTTGCTTTAGAAAAAGAATTCATAGGTTTAAACTATGATGATCTTTTTGATTACGTGCATGATACAAGTTTAAAAAAGCTTCTATAGAGATTTTATATTGGTTACGCATATTGATAATACAAAGATGTACTATACAATTTAGATAAGAATTGTAAGTGAAGGAATTGCAAGTACAAGTTTGTCATGCTAAACATGAAATAAAACTAATATTCACTGATGATATGTATTTGAAGCTGGAAAAGTGTTGGTGTTTTTTAATCGGCCACCCTTACTATCGAGGCAAGAATGGTTTCAACACAAGGACGAGTTTCTTGCAACCCATGGAGAATGACGCAAGAGCTCGAACTGCACTGACTTTCATATAATTAGGGTTTTTCTTTTAATAGTTTATTTGCATAATATTTATGGTGGTAGTTTGGATGGCTACGATTTAGTTATTTTTAAGGGCAAGGGTTTATTTTACTTTGGGTTTTGCTTGTATTTAAAGCGCTGTTACTACTATATATATATGTATATATATATAAAAAAAACTTGAATATTTTGATAATTTTATAAAGAGTTTGTTCTTTTTTCTGGACGTTCAAAGCAGACAACCAACCTTTAACTGTGTTGGCTATCTGTCCTTTTCTTCCTGCATCACTAACACAAAACAAGACTTGTTGTCAAAGGTTTTAAACAACAAAAAGTTGTGGACTATTTTGATGCATACTTGTGTGTTAAGAATAATTTCCATGCATGCATTAATAGTCATTGCAGTTACTGACAAGTTAAAAATACATTAAATGGACAAAAAAACAACTTTCCTAAATGGTGACCTTGACGAAGAGATCCACATGGAATAACATGAGGGTTTATTGTTAAAGGGAAAGAAAAGAAAGTTTGTAAGTATGTCAAGTCATTATATGGTTTGAAACAGCTCCTAAACAATGACTAAGGTTTCAGATTTTCGATTGGCTAAGATGGCTTTTGATAGGATCAACGGTTGGAGTTCGATATGTGTGCTGGGGACCACCGGTTATCTAGCACCAGAGTGAGTGATCCATCATCTGTCCTGCATCTCATTTTTAATGAGCAAACAATATCAATGCAATGCCAATTGTTATATAAGATTGCACATGGGCAATTCCATTGCCCATTAGATAACATGTCATTTTCTTCATCCTCTGACTGCTATGGAAAGCAAAAGGTCATGCTCAAGGACAATTTTACATGAAACTTTTAGCTTCATTGCCAAGTTTATTAATCCTTAAATATCTGGGGATAGCATCAACTGATTTCATTAACTAGTAAGTTAATTAATTAGCACATGGAAAAGTAATTATTTGGTTTTGAAGCTACTTATATTAATTCTGATTATTTTCTGCCATATGTAGTTATTTAATTATTTGGATTTTGGTTTTAGATTTATGGATAGAATCTAGTTTGATTTTAATTATTGCTGATGGCAGTTCTTTCTTTCTCATTGATTTAATTGACTGTGGTTGGTGTAGAGGCTATTTGGCGACAATTGTTGTTAGTTGTGATAAAGCTTGTATTGATTATATGATGGAAGTGACTTGCTGGTCATGTTAATATACTTTCGGCAATGGTTGGATGGATGTTGTGAGCCTGCAAGCTATACTGTGAATGAGGTTGAAATTGTATTGAGGTTACTATTGTGGATGGTGTTGGCTGGAATAGCGTCTGTTACAATGTGGTTTATGAAATAACTTCTAGTAAATATTTTGTTTCCATTTAGGATTAGTTTAAGTGATGCTTGATGTTTAGTTTTTCATGGAATCCAAATTGAAGCAACATCTTTAATTTGGAAAAGGTGGATCACCATTCTGAGAGACCTCAAATACAGATCTGTGTCTTCAAGTACTAGTCAACTCTAGTTGGGGGATTTGAAGGACTTGAAAGTAAGAGAAGTTCCCCTGGTCCAAGTACAATGCAGCATTTGGGTATTTCACCATTTAATGTTTAGGTTTTTTGTAGGGTCCATCTTGAAGCAACAAGCTGGTTTCCAAAAATAGATCTGAACTTTGAGGGTGGTCGAATACAGTTTTGCACCCCTGTAAGATACAATTCTAGCTGGGGATTGGAGGAGTTGAAGTAGGAGCAGCAGTTTTCTTGATGGTGGGGATGAGACTTGCAGTTTTCTCCTTTGAAGATTTTCATTTCGAGCTAGTCAGTATCTTTTTTAAGATTTTGAGTAAATCATGGTAGTTTGCTTATTAAGATCTTCGTAGCTTTCAAATTTCAGATAATGTAACCCGCTATTAATTGATGTTTAGCTTTTTTGTTCTTTAGTTGCTTTGTTTGATCTAAAGCCCTAAAATCTTCATCCAAGTTCTATTGGTGTTGGCTGCTATTTGATCAAATATAAGCGACTCTGCGAGATAAAGTTCCATTTGAAATTTTTGGTTTTGGGCCATTACCGATGTTGATCTGATTTTTGGTTATACAATATGCTGCAACCTTTGGAATGTGCATTCATTTTTGGCTGTCTTGTAGAGTTTCAAGAGTAAACTTGTTTTGAATGGTTATGGCAATTGTTTGAAAAATATTGGAGCTTCAAAGAGTTGTCATGTGGACCTTTTGCGAGGTGCTTTGGTGATTAAGATGTTCTTTACTGGCTTGGATTTGCAGATATGTTGTTTCTCTTGTTTTTTCTAAATTAATATGAATCCAGCTTAGGACCGATTATTCCTTCATACATGTGACAATTTTCCTTTTCTTTTCAATGACAGCATCACCATATTTTATTTTGCAAAGGAAGGAGACAATTGTACATTTGTACCAGTTTACCCTGAAATCTATATGCCAAGGAAAATCCCCTTTGAGAAAGGAGTGGGCCAAATATTCTCACAGCCATCAGGAACAGGCATTGACCTTGGCTTTTTTGAATTGGATCAGCTATCGAAGCCCTCGCCCAAGGGAGATATATTTCCGCTTGTTATCTTTGCTGAAGCATCCTCACCTTCTCCCTCTACATCTACGAGTCAAGAGCCTGACAAGCCTTTGCCAACAATGTCTGCTCATGCACAAATAACTAAAGCTGTCTTGGTGAAAAACAACGAAGGCCATTTTCAAGTAAAAGTAGCCAAACAAATCTTATGGATCGATGGGATTCATTATGAGTTGCAAGAGATCTTTGGCATTGCCAATTCTGATAGTGCTGGCGTTGATGAGGAGACTGCTTCTGGAAAAGAATGCATTATTTGCATGACTGAGCCAAAGGATACTACTGTTTTACCTTGTCGACATATGGTGAGAATGCTGACCTTTATCTATATATATTTTATCTTGATTTTTCTTTATATTAACTAATCACGGGCTTTTATTATTAACAACCGGTCTTGCATTGAGTCATGTTCCGTCTGGTATCATAGGGTTTTTCATGTTCCATCTGGTATCATAGGGTTGGTGGTTGTATAAATTCTGACATGAAAACATCGCTAGTCTGCCTTCTTGATGTGCAAACTTTCGGATTCATCAAGATGTCCTCATTCCACTGGCGAATTCAAATAAATTGGCTTAAGGGTTGAAGCAATCAAGAGGTTTAGATTGTTTGACCATTCAAATGGCATTGGTACACGCAGCTAATGCAGGTTTAGATTGTCAGACCATTCTAATGGTCTTGGTGCATGCAACTATTGCAAAGCATTATCTTGAGAAACTAGTTTATGCCTTAAAGCTCTTCAGCTAGAATAATGAATTTGAATTTTGTGAATTCTTAGGGAACATGCTTGGTAGATTAAATATTCCCAGCAATTCAACAGTTTCTTGAAAGATATCTCTTTGCAATAAAATCCTTGCTGCTCTTTCAGTGGATCTTGTTAGTTAGGCCCTGAATCAAACTTAAGCTCAGTGCTGGTTGAGAACAGGCGGTGACGATAAATTTTTGTTACTACCAAACATGGTCTTAACTACAATCATCTGCACTTAGAATCACAACTGTTTACCATGTTCCACGCCTTATGCATCTGTTACTGAATTAAATGAATAACCAATATCTTCTCTGGCAGTGCTTGTGCAGCGGATGCGCAAAGGAGTTGAGGTCTCGATCGGATAGGTGTCCTATATGTCGCCAACCCATACAGCAACTTATGGAGATCATGGTTAATAATTGTACGAGTTCTAAACCCTTTTCAATTCACGCAAGATTTCCTGAGAGGCTATTTCTTCAATAGCAATTTTCCTTTTGCCTCACATTCTTTCCCGTTTGCTTATAGCTCATCCTGAATAAAGAACCAGTAGACCATCGGGTGAGGGTTGCCTGAAAAGTTTATGATGACTTGAAGCACTGATCTGCGCTCAAGTCCTGCTTTAGCGTCTCTCTGTGGCTTGGGATGACAATTATCTTTACACATGAAAGGTTGAGGTAGTTTTTCTTCTTCTTTTTTCTGTATAAACTGGGTGCATTTTCTAATAAAGAAAAGGGCATCATCTTGATGTGTTTTTTTCTTATTCTTTTATAGAGCTTGTATTGTATTTCATTCCAAAAAAATAATAATAATAAAGATTGTATTATATTTACTTTTACAAGAAGGATAATTCTTTTCTGGTAATTACTGCACTCTCTTTTCCACTTAGAGATGAGATTTATAATCGATTGATCATATAATTTACCCCTACCATTAAAAAAGAAAATTAATGTCCATGATTATTTGAAGATTGGAAAATAAGATCAAATAAAAAAAATTATATACGAATAGTATTTTTCAAATAGATGTGATAATATATATATATATATATATATATATGGAATTTAAGATACATCTACAAAAAAAAAAAAAAGCTTGGTAAGGAATAAATAAAGGGTATTTTCATTTATTTTATATTGGATAAAAATTAATATAAAAAAAATTTAAGATAAAAAAATAAAAAATTTAAACTTTGTTTGTGATCTTGACTTGAATATATATATTTTGTTAATATTATTAAACAATAAATTTATTGTTAAGTTTTCACATTAAAATAAAATAGAGCTTGCAAAAAGCTCATGCCCTTCTTTATTTCTAATATGGAATGGCCTGACCACTCAATATTGTCCATTAACCTCCTCTGAACAATCTACCTGTTATTGGATTATTTCTGGCTAATTTTTTAGGTATTTTAGACTAAGATTTGGACAAGCTTTGATTTTCAGCCAACCAACTCTTTGATGTAATTTTGTGTTTGAAGTATCCTTGATTTGAATTGAAAGTTATTTTTTAATATAATAAAGAAAATAAAATATGAGCTCTATCTACACGTTTCTTAGCTTGAATAAAATTTTTTTATTGTGAATTGAAAGATTAACACATAAATTTAATCAAATAAATTAATAATTATATATAGATTAATTAACATGATTTAAATAAATTATAATACATTATACATGAATGAAAAATTAATCTTAAAATTTTTTAGGTTTTTCTATTTAAAGAATCCTTAATTTTTCTATGTTTAATTCTTAATCTGTGGTGGCTATATATTAAGGTTAATAACGGTACAAATGAATTTTTATTAATTCTTTAAATTTTTAGTTTCTAGAATCCACTGTAAATTAGGGTGAAAGGAGAATTTTTAACTTGAATTTTTTATATTTTTATACATTCTTCCTTATTTTATTTTAATTTTTTAATTAATATAATTTTAAAAAAATTATAAGTGAATGAGAAATTAATATTATATAAACCTTGATCTTTTTAAAATTAATTCTTAATTTATAGCAAGTAATCAAATGTTAATAATAGTAAAAATTAATTTTTATTTATCATATACAACAATAAAAGATTTTTTATTTTAAAATGTTTCAACAAGTAAGTATTATTTTTATTTTAATTTAAATGTATATAATTTTGTTTGTAAAATGCATTACAAGATTTTTTATTTTATATCAATTTCAATTTCAAGTATCAATACATGTTTCTTATTTTTATTTTTTATGTTGAAAGTATATTTGTTATTAATTATGCTTTTAATCTGAGACAAGTATAAGCTCCAGGTTCTTCTTGTTGAACATATTTTGTTTAGCATGTTTTTATGATAATAAATAAAATATCATCATTCACTAGACTAATATATAATTTTGATTTCCAAAAGCATTTTGAGGCTATTTCTAATTGCATTTTGAATAATGTTTTTTAAAAATAATTTTTTTATTTAAAATTATTTTTTATATGATTTGACTGTTTGATGTGCCATGTAAAAAATAATTTTTAAAAATTTAAATTATATATTATTTTAATATATTTTTTTAACAAAACACTTTAAAAATATATTATTAAATATTCCCTATCTCTATCGTGGTTTATGGTACAAGGAGAATCAACTATGATAGACTTTATCCAGAGAGTTAGAATCTATACTGGGCACAAATCTCATGTCATCTGTAGTTTTCTGAATCGCACAGGTATTGTTCCTCTCCCTGGTATCAAGTGAATATATGCCTAATGTACCTTCTTCACCAGCAGGCCCCTGGCGCAGTTGCATGATTGCTTCACAGCGCCATCCTCTGAAACCACCGTATGAAGGAAAAGGTGAAGGAAAACAATCTTTGTCTGTGCCTGAACAGAATCTATGTCGATATTCTTCTTTTCTTTTTTGTTACATCTTTTTCAGATTTCAACAATTATCTGAAAAGAGTGGACTCCAGCCATGACTTTGATCCGACTTTTACTAATTTCTTATCTTTTTTTAACTTTTCCTTTTCTATACAGTTCTTCTGTCCGTGTTATAAACAGTGTTATTAAGCCATGCGGGAGTTATAATGACAATAATAACACAAAAAATACATAAAAATCCTTTTTTTTTGAAAATGGCGGTGAATTTTGAGAAAGAAAGAAAAAAACTTCATACATGCACCCAAAACAGAGCATGTCAAGTCTACAGGGAAAGCCAGGCAGAGTCCGTGCCTGATGTACTGTATGCACAAAATTCAACCATAAAAGTTAATATTTTCTGCTTTTCTTAGTTTTTTTAATGGTTCCACACCCAAACCATAATTTTCACCTCTAACACAAACACACATCTGCTGAAAAAGACAAAGACCCTCCTGCAGATCCTCAAATCTTCGCAGCCCTACTGTACTGAGACGTGCACATATGTCACTATCCTCCCCGCACCTCCGTTAATGTATCTTTCATCAATTTTATAATACACTAGTAGATGGATCGACGGCATCTCCAAGTGTTGAAATTATGGAGCTGGTTGCTGATTTTACCACTAAGTTCATATGGCCTTAGCTTAAACAAAGGCTTTAATGTCTCTCATTGCTGTTCGTGCTTGTCCCTGTAACTGATAAAACAAGCCCATCAGGAACATTATTGAATACAGCTGAAATTTGGAAATTCGCATGTCCTAACCTTTAATCTAAATATCAGAAAATAGACAAATAATGAGTTTCCTACAGGAAAAACAGTGATGGGGAAATTACTTTAAAAAATAATTAAAATTTCATAAAAAATACAGAAATTCCATCTTTTATTTAAAATAAAAGATTGGGTTAGCTTTGCTTGTGAAGACCTCTGCTGTCCAACGAACCAAACCACAGAAACTCAGTTAATCAAATTAAGACCATAAGCGTGTCTTTATAAAAAATATATACCAAAAAGATCCTAGTATCGCTACTCGATATAGATAGATCATGCAAGAAGGTTTGTGTTCGAATACTATTTTTAGATAAATTGTAAATTTCCCATCCAAATATAGATTTTTTTTTTTTTAAAAACAATTTCCCATCCAAATATAGATTTTTTTTAAAAAAAAAACAAGGCAGGCCTTCATTGATATAAAAGACCAGCATGATCTACAATAACTGGTTTCAGATCAAGAAGAATAAGTTGCAATCATCTTAAAGAATCCAGATTTTAATATACATGAGAAGAGGAAGCTAGGAAGAAGGAGTGAGTAATAATGTCATCAGGAATTTAAGAGTTGTAATATTCTTTTCGTCACATGACCAGCTGCATCTACTGAGCACAAGCAAGCACATGATGAAGTGTGAGTTATGTCCAAGCTGCCTAGCTGCATAATCTATTGCATAATGTGCTAGAAAATTAGAATTCATGATTTCCTGTGAACTTCCGCTCATCTTCTTCATGTCCTCACCTGAACATCAGCTCACATGTACTGATAGTAAACACTCACTTTTTATCTAGTTTCATTTTGGTTTGGCCAGGTCAATGATGAAGTGAAATCACTAGTCATATTATGTTTGATTAGTTTAACTTTCAAAAAAATTCAAAGAAAACTTGGTGTAAATAAACTGAATTAGAATTGATAATTATGATTTAAATCATTATAATATAAATTTTTTTTATTAATTTTAATGTTTATGTGAGTTTGTGCGTATCTTAAATAATTTTATAAAATTTAAAATTAATTATTATATAAACTTTAATAATATTGAAAGAACCCAAACTTATAATTATAAAAAAACATATTTAAGGTTCAATCGATTAAACTATTAGAAGAGTTATTACAATACAATTTTTTTTTTGATAATTCGATATGTTCGGATTAGTTTATATATACCACGATTAATTCCTAAATTTATTAAACATTTTACAAGTTTAATAAACAAATAAAATACCACGGAAATCACGGAAATAACATATATGCATCAAGTTTAATAAACAAATAAAATACCACGAAAATCACGGAAATAACATATATGCATACTAAAACTTAGAATCTAGAATACATAAACACTATTAAGACCGCTGGGCTACTTGACAAGTGAGTGATTACTAATAAAACAACACTTCTTTTTATTTACTACTGGTTTTAAAACCCTACAAGGTGAGATTACAATGGTTTCTTCTAGGTGATAGACACTCAAGTACTTCTATCGTATCCCTAGCAATTGACTCTCTCCAGGCCCAAGGTTTGGAAACAAATGAAGAAGATAAGCTTAAAACACAGTGATTTCATATGTAATTGGACCCATGATTAAAAACTTAATGGAAAGAGTCAAAAGATTGGGCAGGAAAAGCTAATTTTGCAACCCAGCATCATCACACAGCCTAAAAAGCAGAAAATACGTGCAAGGTTAGATATTTTTGGGGATGTGTCCTGTGGTCACTTTTGGTCACCGTTCGTACATCTTTTACAGGCAAGGGAGAATATGGCATGGAGGGACAGCATGTCCTTCAAGGAGCGAGGGCTGGACTTTTAAGGTGGATAAACAATAATTTCAGTTGATAAAGAAGGGTCCAAAGTGAGATAAAATCATTGTTCGACCACTTTCTTGATCCTGAATTTTTGGACTCTTGTGTTTGTATGCATCGGAGCACATCTTGGTAAGTTCCAAGATCTCCAAGTGTTTAATTGTTTCTTGTTAGTGCTTAGGGCGTGGTAGTTTATGTGTTTTTTTTAATATATTTTATTTTAAAAAAATACATTTTTTTTATAATTTTGATATATTAATACTAAAAAAATTTAAATTTGTTTTTTGATATACATACTGCATCCCTTTAAATAGGATGGTTGGGATATAATATACATGTTTTTTATTTTAAAAAAATAAAAATTCATTCAAGAATATTTTTAAAATAGATTTATTTTATATCTTCATCTTTTATCTATAAAGCAAAATACATGCTTACCCCTTATACATTTTAGTGATTTTGAAAAAAATACTTGCAGCACAATACTAGATATACGCATAACATCCCTTTAAACAGGACATTTGAGATATAAAATATATGTTTTTTATTATAAAAATAGAAATCCAATCAAGAATATTTTAAAAATTAATTTCTTTTAATATAAATATGGCCACTTAATTTCCCTCGTAAAATGATACATTGACTATCACTAACTGGACATGAAAACGATTCCCTCCACGATTGTTTTTTTTTATAGAGCAAATAATATTAAAATTCGGAGCTGTCCCATTGCCGGTTCATAGATCTATATATTACAAACTCTGATAATTAATGTATTTGACTTATAAATATCGAAAACAATTATTTAATAAAACTGTCTTCAACATGTTCTGCATTGTGGAGGTCGACCCGAGGGATTTCTGACTGGAAACTTGCTACGTCTTTTTGGTTTTTTAAATTTGCGTAGCTTGATTTTATTTATTTAATCTTTAAATTGTTCTTGTCCTTTCTGTTTCTTAATTATCTTGGTTAACGAGTGAGATGTCTCTTTGATTGGTTAGAATCACTCTCATGAAACACCACTGACATGATGGGTCAATTAAAATTAAATTAAATAAAAACTGACTAGATCAATATCGTTATGTTTTTTTTTTATATATATATTTTGAATCTTCAAATGATATTATTTTAAATCAATAAAATTAATTGAGATTAGTCTACTATATCCGTAACATAAGATCATGGCAAGAGAGGGTTGAAATCTCTTAGAATTGTAGTTCATTGATGAAATATTTAATAATTGTTTATAGGGTCCATTTGCGTTATTTTTGCTTGCAATCTTCATGTCGGTCTTGCTTGCAATCTTCGCCACCCCCCATGTATAGTTTTTGCGTATTTTTGCAATTTTTTTAAAAAAATTAATATATTTATGGTGTTTTTAAATCATTTTGATATACTAATATTAAAAATAATTTTTAAAAATAAAAAATATTATTTTAATATATTTATAAATAAAAAATATTTTTACAAATAACTATAACCACTTATCTGCACGGGTTAAGCATAGCCACCCCATCTCCAGGAGACTTCACAGATGGGCCATGAATGTTCTTGCGATGGTTTACCTGCCATGGCACTCTACGCTAGAGGTTGGAATCTCGCCATCAAACAGAGGAAATATCTAAACATTAAGATTATTCTCAAGTCTGAATTACTCGTCTGCCCATTGTTGAGTTTGCATTGAAGCAATTGTAATTTCGAGATATCATAATTGCCTTCCGAGGAAAACTCTTCCAGTTTAAATTAATTACTGTGCTGGTGAAGTGATAAATTACCTACCATCAGGACTCGCGTCTGTGTAACTGTGCATGTTATCGATGTATAATTTATTATGTGATTTAAGTGATACACACACATATGTGGTTGAATCCAACTAGTTTTTAAATTAAAATAGCCTATCTTAGGTCTGTTTGTTTTTATTTAAAAAATTAAATATTTTTTTCTCTACTTGAAATTAATATTTTTTATATTTTTAGATTATTTTGATATATTGATATTACAAATAATTTTTAAAAAATATAAAAAATATTATTTTGATATGTTTTTTTAAGTAAAAAGTACTTTAAAAAATATTAGTATTGAAATTTAACGGGTGTATTATCTGAATCTGTTATTTTTATATCTAAATTAGACTTTAAAATTACTATATTAGTTTTTTATATTAGTTTTTCTAGTTATTTTTTAATTATTTCATTAATAATGTTTTATTTTTTTAACTTATATTTTGCGAACAGGTCAGTTTTAACTACTATTTAAACGAGATGCACGTTATTTTTTAGAATTTATGAAATCACTTATTCTTTTGATCATAAACAAAAACACTTACCATTAACGTGTATAGCATTATAGTAGTGCGCAGTACATCCATTTTATATTCATTTAAGTAAAAGTTATTTTGAAATGTACAAGAAAACAAAAGTTATTGAACTCTCAAATCCTCAAGGTGTTTATTAAGTGTTTTTGCTTATATTCTCAAGTGTTTTTTATAAATATCTTCAGCCTGAAATACTAGATGTTTTTTCTAGTATTGTTTTGATATATTTATATAAAAAATTCAAAAATTTTAATTTAATATATTTTAAAATTAATAACTATTTTAAAAACATCTTGTATTACATAATAATAATAATAATAATAATAATAATAATAATAATAATGGATGAAAAGAATCGATAACGTCGGTCCGCGCCGAATATTGGCAGGAGCAGAAGGTGAAAGTGGGGCGCCGCATTTTTATTTACTTGCCAGGTTTTTAAGGACAAGAACAAAAACGTCAAGACGATCACGGAAACCAGGGAGTGGCTGAGTAATGTGTTTTTTCTCTTACACGAATTGAAGGGTAAGCGCCCCATGTGACCATATTGGTGATATATTTTGGCCACGTCAATCACTGACCCTGCCGACCTCGTTTATTTTCTACCGTTCTCTTCCGATCTAAGATGATATTTAGCTGTAATTGCTTGGAGTCGCTCATCATCATCACTACGTGATTGTCTTGAGTTTAGGGATACATGTACAATGATATGGTTATAAATCTCAATCAACTCGGTGTGATAAATCAACTTGATGATTCTCAGACACAGAATCTGGTTTGGTTGGCTTTCACATCCACTGGTTTTTATCTTTTTTATTAATTTTATTTTATTTTTCTAAAAATAAATCAAAATTTAAATTAACTCATATAATTTATGATGATATATAATTATTTTTTTTAATTTGATTTTTTAATTTATTTAAAAAAAAAATCAAAATCAATCTAAAACTAATTTAAATTTACTTGTTTTGGTTTGGTTAAATTATTTTACAATAAAAACATATTTAAATTTGTTTGGCTTGGTTTTTCTAGTTTGGATCGATTTTTTTGTTTGGTTTGATTTTTTTATTTTTCTGGTTTTATTTGAATTTTTTTAGTTTTTTTTTGTTTAAGTTCAATTTGATTTTTTTAATTTTAAATTTATAAAATCAAAACTAAACCGAATTAGTTGATTTTTTTTTAAAAATTATATCTTATTTAATCACAGTTTTTTTCATAATTTAATTTATTTAATTATTTATTTAATATTTATTTAATTGTTTTACTCATCCCTGGTCCATGAGCCTGCTTATCCACTAAAAAACTTCAATCAAACCAAAAATCAGCTCCTGTTTTGTAATGAAGAGTGTGTGTTTATTATTATGGTAAAATAAGTTTTTTAAAATATTTTTTATTTTAAAAATATTTTCAAATATTGTTTTATTTTTAATATTTAAAAGATTAAGATTTAAAAGAAATAATTTAATATTTATTCGAATAATATATATTTTTAAAGCTCGATCAAAAACCGAATACCACACACTGTACGAAGGCATTGGAATCGGCGGGGAAAAGACACGTGAAACGTCTTCACCGTCCATTGTATCAAACATCCAGATGCAAGGTTTTTCCTTTTCACTTCATTTATCATAATCTTTTCTAAGCAACTTTTCGTGTACAAAATTAGTTTTTTTTGTTGATTATGTAAGTAATTTATTAATTAGTGCACGTGAAATTTATTTTTCCAGATTTCTTTTCTATTTAAATCTTAATTACAACAACACAAAAGATAAGCTATTCATTTATCATCCGGATCTAATCTAAAAAGAACCTCCTATAAACGTTTTTAACCTTTAATAAAAAAAAAAAAAACCCTTCAACCATAAGATAGTTAATAGGCAACACTTTGTTATTGTCCAAATCGATTCTATTATAATAATATTCTAGTTCTCCAAGCTGTGAAAGCACTTGAGGTTGCGGTATAAAAAGGCACAAGGCCAGCTGTGGTAGACGCTAGCTAGAAGGTAGAAGCTCAAAGCTCACCTTACTCTCTGTCCTATAAACGTTTTTAACCTTTAATAAAATAAAATAAAATAAAAACCCTTCAACCATAAGATACTTAACAGGCAACACTTTGTTATTGTCCAAATCGATTCTATTATAATAATATTCTAGTTCTCCAAGCTGTGAAAGCACTTGAGGTTGCGGTATAAAGAGGCACAAGGCCAGCTGTGGTAGACGCTAGCTAGAAGGTAGAAGCTCACCTTACTCTCTGTGCAACCGCTTCCAGTCTCTCTTGTCTGCTGCATCAACAAGAAGAAAGCTTAAAGACCACTAGTTGTACCAGCTTGCTATAGCCTAAAATATTTGGCTAAAAAGATAGGCTTTTAAATTCACACCACCAACCGCCTTTTAATCCTGCGTTTCTTATACTTCGGAGCACTAACGCATTCTCCCTTGTACTTCCTCTCCTCTGAAGCAAAACACAAAACCCCATTTATAATTTGCTCTCTCTCAATCTCACACACTCTTTTAACTTCAGTTTGAGTTTGTTGTTTCTGTGTTGTCAAGTATGAATAAACAAGAGGTGATGAAGATGCAGGTATGCTCTTCGCCTGTCTAGCTTGTTTTCATTTTCTTGCTCTAGAATCTAGTTAGCTTGGACCCTTTTCTTTCAGTTTCATTAACTAAGTTCTTGGTTCCTTGTTTAACTCTGCTGCTGTTGTTGTTTGTGGTTGCTTTTCATAGCAGACTCATACTTTGAAAGTGAACATAGAGTGTCACTGTGATGGATGCAAGAAGAAAATAAAGAAAATGCTCCAAAAAATCGAGGGTATGCTCCTTGTTCTGTGACTTCTTTCTCTTTTCCCTATGAAAGAATTGATTTTTATGTGATATTTTGTTGAAATTGTTAATTTGTGTTCATTAATTGCTTCTTTTACTAGCAAAAACTCCTGTCCTGATTTTTGAAGGACAGTTCTTGATTCTTGTTGGTAAGATGGATGGTCAAGAGGGATAGAAGATAGCTATTCATAATTAACAAGAGATTGTCAAAATATTACTAGATTCAAAGTTTTTCAATTTTGTTGGGATTTTGGGTGGGGAAGGGCAGTTGAAAAGAGAGATGGATGGTTGCTTGCTTGGAGGTACTTGTGTCTAGTTCAAATTTTCATGGAAGCTGATATTTTCAAGAAAGCAGTGGATTCTTGATTGATGGGACTTTGCTTAGAAGTAGGATCGTTTTCCACTCTTACTTTATTTGTTTGTCTCAGTGTGCTTGGCAGTTTTCTTCGAATTTTACTGACGTCGTACTATTTTTATGCCCAGGGGTATATACTACCACAATAAATGCAGAGCAAGGGAGGGTAACTGTGACAGGGAATGTTGATCCAGCCAAACTCATAAAGCAGCTCGAGAAGTCAGGGAAGCATGCAGAGTTGTGGGGAGGTCAAAAGGGCTCTAACAACTTCCAAAACGTTGTCAATAATCAATTCAAGAACATGAAAATTGAGATGGAACAGGAAAAGGTCACAAGAATCCTGGCCAAATGGGTCCGATGGGTCCGATGGGTCATATGGGCCCGATGGGTCATATGGGCCTGATGGGTGGGATGGGCAGTGTTCCAACAGTGCAAGGACTGCCTGCAGCGGCAGCAA